CGATTTARGCGTGGAAATTGTTTTTAGTACAGTCACTTTCTTCTAGTTTTCAGACGAAATGTGTCATTCTGGGTTTGGTGGTGTTGAATCTCACTACCACGTTAGTTTATTCAATTTGGTTAAGTAAACTTTAAAATTTTGTGGTCTTCGGTTTTTAAAAGTATTTTTGAAAAATTTATTAAAATATAGTGTTCAGTTCTTGGGACATGCGGATATTTTTCCCTCTCTTTTTTATTCTTTTTCTTCTGTTTTTGCTTATCTTGTAATTGAACTCTTTTCTTCTCGTTTTTCAGGATTGTTTAGACGTTTAGTCGTTGGTTGTTTTGGATTAGGTTTCAGTGTTCTGTATTTCCCTTATGTGTTTGTTTTTCGTTTTGTTTTTTGTTGTTTATTTTTGTCTTTTTGTTTTAGTAGTGAGAGGGTTTTATTATACTATCATATGTTAGCTCAAGGCGATGATCAGGTTTCATCAAATCATGCCTTTTGAATGCTTTGACCAGCAAGATGAAAACAATTGCTAAAACACAACCCTACGTGCGTGAGCGCACCCTTATAAAAGAAAGACTCTTGCAATTTCTGATAACCAAGCTATAATGGAGTGGTTCTTTAGAAAACGCACAAGTACTTTAAATAATAGGCCTACTTAGTTCGCCACTTAGAAAACGCGTTCAATTTTTTTAACTATTTTACCTTGGTTCGACGGTGTTGACCAAGTTAGATTGATGTTAGCCACCGCTTTGTGAAGTGATAGATTCATTCATGTTTTTAGTAAGAATTGGTTTCCTTTTCTTGCGATGTGTTTTTCTTTAAACAAGGCGACATACGCTTTTTTTGTCGGATTAAAGTGTATAATTTTGACTTAAAGATTTACTAAGAGCCACTTATTGGAACCTGGGCTTATGAAAAAAGGACTTTGGTGTCTCCTGATAAGAATTTCTTAAGATTATCCCGCGAAAATGGCTGCAGCGTTTGTTTATTCAAATGGCGATGAAAGAGTCGACTCAACGATATTTATTTTGTTTTAGATGTCGAGACAGCAACAAAAGCACTAAATCTGGTCAACGGATATCAATTGAGAGGCAAACCTTTGATTATACAGTACGGCAAACAGAGTGAGACTGGAAACAAAGCTACAGGTAACCCAATCTATATATTTGAATTATGACGTCATGATTTARAGAGACACCATTTTCTCACGCAAAGCATGACGGTAATGCATTTTTTACTTGTCCATTTGAATAATGCACAAAAATTTTTGTGTTTTCATTGCAAAAATCCAAGTTTTTTTGTCGTTTCGGCGAAGAAAGTAAAAAAGTAATTTGTGGGAGTAATGTCAGCGGCGATAAAAAAGTGCGACGATTACTCAGCTTGCTTTATTGTTCAAAGTGGCGTCGCTGCCTATTGCTATCATGTTAGCATCCTTGTCGTTTTTTTGATTATTACTATCATCAATTCTATGATAATATCATGGATAGTGAAAGCAGCAATAGGAATAGAGGTAGCGGCCGACGCCATACTGACTCTACCTAAGATATCTTTCTATATGACGGCTACTGCTTAGTTTCTAATCATGAATTTCAAAAACCACTAGGAACGATTATTTTAAATTATGTTTATTTGTTTGTCTTTTTGCTTTTTTTTCATTTCGATGTCAATCAAACACCAGAGAAGATTACGCCTAGCAGCCTGCTCTATTACAGCGCACCTTTATCATGTTTCGAGTGTCCATGTGGCTTCCTTTGACAACGGTTTTGATATCCAGTCGTTAACGGTAGTCCAAATTAAACTATTTGCCGAGGTTTAAATTAGCGTGTCGAAATACCACGCCAAGATACAATCTTATAAAAAAGCGCAAGATTTCTTAATGTATAAAAGATTGATTATGACATCAAAGACCACCGTCAAGTTGCTGGGCTTGTTTTGCACGCAATYAAAAACCTGTTTATAGTATTCTGTGGATTTAGAATAGCGAAATTGGAAGATTTCCAGACGCTGTGCTTTCAATTACTTTTAAGAAGCGGAAGTATAAGTTGTAGAGGCTTTAGTGCCTTTCTTGGAATCCGAACACATTGGCGTAAGGAGTTGGGCTTCTTGACTGATTCACTTCTCGTGTTAGTAAGTGCTGCATTGATCTTTTCTTTTTTTCTGGTTTTGTCGATAGTGAGGAACAGCTGATTATTATTTATTGTCCTCTTGAAGCATCACTTATTTCATTATCTGTAAGAATAAATCGAAAAATTTGAGAGGAAATTGATAGGAAAAAAAATAACCAAGGAAAACATCTTTTTTCAGCATCTTGAAACAAATCAGGAGGAGCATTTGGGGTTTGTTAAATGAAATTACGCTATACTTTCTTGGAATGTCAAATTCGTCTCATTATCATATCTGAGTTTTACATGCTTTGGTTTGTTTGTCAAAGGCAACTGTGGTGTACTCTAGACACGCGTATTTTGTTCGCTATGGATAAACCTATTTGACAAAGCCTGAACCTAGGCCAAAGAGGATTTTTGGGAGCTTTAGAACATGGAAAATATTAACATTTCTCGTAGCAGCGCCCACTATGAATATTTTAATAAAAGACTGTGTTTTTCCTGCCTTGCTTTCCCATGATCCCTTTCGGTCTTTTATGACGTTTGTTGAGATGGACAGTTTTTTCTTCCAACTTTTTTCATACTGACCTCGCTAACTTGTTATTATGAGACATACCATGATAAACTACTTTAGTGGAGGGTTTTTCCAATGAATGTTCATTTGTCTTTAATTGATTTTTATTTATTAATTGTTTTTGTCGTTTTAGTGTTATTAATTTTCATTTCTTTCTTTAGTTCTTTTTCATTTTCTTCTTCTGTTTTTCTTCTTTTTCTCCGACTATTGTGTTTAGGTTTTTCTTTGTAGCCAACTTTATGTTTCCTGTTTTTCAAAGCACTCAGTTGTAATAAGGATGTAACTTCTAATAGATGAAATGCTCAATATATATGACTCGTATTTGAGCACTCCTCCAAACTACTCATGGCCATATTTCCCTGTTATTGTCATATAATACCTAATTCACTATAAAAACAAATTTACGGTGATATTGGTGTAATTGCATTTAATAGTCTACTAGACATACAAGAACCAAACAACAGAATGATATTTGGCTCTATGTCCAATAGTAGTCTATCTATTATAATCAAGGTATATATGATAAGTATAGTATTGGACATTGGTTTATCTTCAATTGATGACGTCTAATGACGCTTGTCTTATAGGAAATGAACAAACACATCAATACTATTGCTAATAAATATGACAGTGTTGGCTTAATATAGGGTTTCTCCAGTTGACATAAACTATCCTAAGGGGTTGTTGCTATCTCCCTTTGAAGGACTAGATTGCTGTTCATCTGGTCTCGCTTTGCCGTCGTCTGTAGCCTCTGCAAATACCTTCCAGTCCTCCAGTACGCTGATTGCAAGGGTTTTACTCGGAAAAGATCTCTAAATTTCACCAAAACCTTCACGCTGAAATTAGTCATTCACTGGCGCAATAAGAAGGTTTGTGGCAAAGACATTCTCTTGGTTTATAGTTTTATTTTATATTTTGTATATCCAGTCATTGAAACCAGTGACCAGTTTGTATCATGCTAGCAAAGCATGTCTTCTTCTCGGCTAATGTGATTGTTATGCAGCAGCCCAAAGCTAAACATTTAAAAGTGATGCTGTTTGTTCCAAATGTTGGCAACGCACTAGAATCAAGCCTTTCCAATTTATCAATAAGTTCTTGGTTTTAATTTCAGTTCATTGAATTTTATGTAATATTTACAAATACATTGACTGGAATTAGTCATTCCTTCATTACAACCAGAATTAAAGGTGGGTCCTTAATCTCATAAAAAAATACCGGGCAATAACACATGTAGATTATCTGGATTTTGACCTTGAAAGGAAAAGTCATCCAGCAACCTAGAGAAAAAGGCTTTGAATTCTTGGCTTTGACCTCTCTTCGTTTCTTTTTGTTCCTCTTTAATAAATTGATTCGTTATTCGCCTTTTTTGTCTATGTTTTTGACTTTCTTTCTTGAAGGTTTGGAGGAGTGCTCAAATACGAGTCTTATATATTGAGCATTTCGTCTATTAGACCTTTTGGTCTTTCTTTCTCTTCCTTTTCCTCCGTTATCTTATCTTTGCTTTCACTTTCCCTCTATTTTATCCTTTCTTTCATTGTTTTATCTCTTCACTTCTTTCATTTAAATTCCATTGTATTTCTATGTTATTTTTCATAGTTTCAGTTGTTTTGACAATGCGATCTGTTCTTCCATCTCATCTTTCCTTTATGTTTTTTTTCTATTATTTCCATTTCAGCTGTTTCCCATTAACGTATTCATGAGATTATCGCCAACGTGGTGATAACAGTATGAAGTCAAATTGCGATAAACTAGAAATATTACCGTGGCTAATAAAAGCCATAATGCATGATAATAGGATCATAAGAAGGCTGATCTAGTGGCTGCTGACACTCTTTGTATTGTTTCTCATTTTTATCGTTTTAAGTCTAATTAATTTGTCTTCAACTTCCTTTCCATGTTGATTTGTGTTTTTGTTGGTTCCGTCTTCTTTTAATAGATTGGTTCTTGTTTTCGTTTTTCTTTTTCATATTTTTATCTCCCATGACCATTTTGTCTTTATACTCATTTGTTTTTCTTTCTTTTCAATTTAGCAGTTCTGATTGTTTTAAATGATATATTTCATACGATAAGCTTTAAAATTAACTGTCATCGTTATTCTACCTTGTTGTCACATCTAACAACTTTTACTTTCCATCTTTTCCATTACTTCATTTTCATTTATCTAATAATACATGTCGTTATCATTAAGAGATCCTACACTTTCGGCTTTATTGCACGGTGACATTTTATTTGATTTCATATCAATTTATCTGCCCTTTTTTTCTAATCAATAAATCCAAATAGATGACTTTTGACTCTCGTCTATTTTTTGCTATTTTTGTAAATACTTATTACCGCGTGTGTTATGCATATATTCATTATATATCATTTATCACACTGATCTGCCGACTGACGGTGAGCTGTAATGCAACTCGATAAATGACCAAGTTGAACATCTTTTGTATCAAACTGTGTGTTCACTAAACACAGCGTTCGAGGTACAAATCTGTTTTTTCATTCAGAAGCAAATGTCAAAGTCGTGTTGTATCAGTTTTGTTTGCTTTTATTTCTTTAATCTTCTAATTGTCGTCGTATATTTTGGTTGTTCTAAGTAAAGTGTTGGCTTGAAAGGATCGACAGAGGCGACCGCAAGTAATTGTGGGGATTTATTATTCATTAATGGCAACCAATACTGTCATTTCCTTTTAATGTAGACTCTTCGATGTTTGGTTTGGCGATCATGCAAAAGTATTGCCAATAAAGCATGCATTTGTGACTACCATGTAGTTATTTGAAAACACATATATTATATTTTACATCTCTGTTTGAACGCCTATATTGTTGTCTAGTTGATTCAGGTACAGGATGGCCGGTTTCTTGTAGTCTAGTAATTACCAGCTTTCCGGGCTATCTTGTCTGAGGCTGGCCATCCTGTAATTCCAACACAATCTCGTGTTCTATTACTAATGACGTGAAACTCCGTAGCAGGAGATCAAATTCTATTCCCAGTTTCTGATTTGGTAAAATGCGACGTCTGAGAGTTATTCGCCCTTCGCCTCTCTTGCAACGAGTGATAACGAAATAGGATCGAATTCCGTATGAAATTAAAGAAATATTTTGCTTTGTACTGTTTGCCTTATAAGTCATTATTAGGTTGTATTGTTAGAAATAGGGACTGCGTTGTTAACGCTTTGCRGAATATCATATTTTTGAGAACAGCACGAGACTGGAATAGTAAAAGTCACCTTGACGGCGAGTCTCTGTATACTCGTCGAGAACACAGTGCAAATACGCACTCATTCCATCTTTACCGCTAATCATCAAGAGGAAACATTCAAGCATAAAAACCCACACATGTCTGGAAACTCAAAACAGTTGCGTTTCTCGGAAAGAGGAAACGCTCAGTGAGGGGGAACATTAACTATTCCGGACCGGTCCGTTTTGAAACGACGTAGTCAAATTCCTTTCTATTCGGCCTTTTGACTTTTTCATGATAGAAATCGTCCTGCTTATTGAGATAACTTTACATTCAAGTGATCAAGAATTTAATGACATTGTAATTCGCCGGATAGTTTTCTCCAATTTTTCTCACAAGTCGTGACCAATTGGCAAACCAGACGCGTCATGACTTTGCATTACGACTTGCTTTCGACGCGATGTCTGACGCCATTGCTATGACGTCATAGTTACCACGCTCTGAGATTGTCATAGCAACTGTGTAATTATAGCGGAGAGCTGTYTTGTTTCCGGTTTATGTCTATAGGTAGGGCAATAGTATATATGACGGGTATTTAATAGTATTGCGATCAGTACACGTCTCTCTGTTAAGTAGATTATCAACAGCAAGTCATGGTGGTTTTGAACTGAACACATGCTTTAACATATAAGCCTAGTTTAAAAGCGATATAAGGTGAGAGAAAAAGCCTTGATCTACAAAATCTTGGGTATTTTCTTTACGAAATCTGTTTCTAGTTTGTCTTTATTATCAACGTGCAATCAATGCGCAATCTGTTTATATTAGTACTACTTGTAGACGAGGTTGTTGTTGTTTTTTAACCCTTTAGCAATGTATTTATATAATATGCATTGGAAATAAGTAAACGAGTTTCTGATTCTTACTTAAAGTACGGCAAATGCGGCTTAATTAAGACTTTGACCTTGGACAATATGTTTAATATAATGTCTTTTCCTAGTTCTCCAAGTAACGTACGATCCTCACTGTACAACACAATTAATCTAATCTACCTCATTGTATTATCAATCCAAGTCCCCTGCTGTTAGTTGATTTATTAGGCAGGTAAAAGACATGTTTTCAGCTCTTTTAARATGATTTAATTTCCTAGGAATATTTTGGCTTCGGTAATTAGCGAAGAGTCTAAATACTATCARTGATAGGTTTTTTGTTTTTCTATATAAAAGTAATTTGTTTTATTCCTGACATTGTTTAGGTTCAGACATCAGTAGGGGGTACTTACTTCCAATTAATACTTCTCTCTCTGTTTGAAGTCATACTTGAACTGGAATTCCCGACATTGTTTATGTCGTTACCTTTTGGTCTTGATTGAGTAATATTGATAGATTGAAGTGCGTATCAACTAGAATATTGCTCTCTTCAATATGGGAAATATTTTGTCAAAAACCTATTTACAGAATTTCTTTTTCAATATCGCTCTAAATAGCACTTTGACACTCTATCCYTTTTTATGTCTTTGGCCTTTTGGTTCAYGTGTACAAGGGCTCCTTATGTACTGTTACTTTGAACTGAGAAGCTATTTACAACATTAAATGTTTGTATTCTCAAGTTTTAGCAGTTCATACAGCTTTTATAATGAACAACAGCAAAAATTACAGTAGTTGTATCACTAGTATAGTTATTTGCGGACAATAATGATCACTAGATGGATTGAGACGTTTTCGCAACCTTTCAATATATAAATGCTCTTTTATAACTGTAACTTTGCTGTACTTAATTGCAACATAGTTGTACTAAAATGCTACAATTTCTACTATCAGCAGAGAACTTGTCGTAAACTAATGTTTCCATCCAGTATTCCAATGTAAATACATAAAAACAATCTAATGCAAAAGCATTTGATTCATTTTAATAAGGCATTTTTGGCATAGCACTTTACACAAGTCGATTCGTTATATAATAGCCTTTGAGTAGAGTGCAATAAATGTTTTTAGGGTCCTATCAACCACTACTTCAGTTTCAATAAGAGTATTTTATGACAATCTCTTGACTTTTTCTACTAAACAACTCATWGATTTTGTTGATAATCCGCGGTTGATGCGGAATTTTAAATACTTCACCAGTGYRACGATACTCGCACTTCTTCAAAACTAAACATTTGTTCTACTTTAAATTAKCTTTGAAACAAGTAAATATACGAGTATAAATTCATCTGAACATTAACAAAAAAACAGTTTTYTAACAGTGTTTTTCTCATTCGTTCAACAGATTGAGAACAAAGACACATCTGTTCCGTCTTCAAGCCGGTAAGACGTGATTATTATGTGTGCATTATGTGTCATAGAATTCAGTAGTTTTTAGTAAAGCTCGTTGAYCCTTTTAAAGATTTGTAAATGGAAACATGTTTTTGCTGTAAGCAATTTGACATGGTCAGGAAGCGGGACCCGTAATGATCTTCGTGTGATTAGAAMTCTTTTGAATCGTTACGATTGTGTGCAAGGATACCGCTCGCTTTCTGCGCTTTTTAGTTTGTCATGTTTTTTTTTTTGTTATTGACATCTTTTTTTCACTTAACGTATATTCACAAAAACCGCCAGAATTGATGATCTCTCTGTTCCTCCCTCTATCGGTAATACTTTCAAAACTGATCATCATTGAATTCATAACTTCCTATAAATCAGTTAGATAATACATCTACTCTAATAACAGATATAAATAATGAATATAGAAGTTAATGGTTAAAGTTATGTCAGAAATAATATAAACGTCAAAACGAGGCTGCAACGGCCTCGGCAAATAATGACAATTAWCCCATAAATATTCAATTCACTATGCTTTGTRCAAAGCTTCAAAGCGTTAGATAGCAGTGGGGAATAGTAAACATTTTCAGACWGAAGTCTTTGCTTTAGTGATCCTCATGCATTCATGTATATTCATCAACTTATTRCCAATCTTTCTTTTTTTCTCGTTCGTTTAATTGTTTTCCCATTCAATTGTTATTATTAATCAGTATTTATTTCAGTTTTCTTCTATTCATTTTTTTTCATTTATCAATTTTTTCCTTCGTTCACGTTCATTGCATGTTTTTTGGAGGTTTTCATTTAAGTCAATAAGATTAATCATCTTAATTTCTTTAATCTCATAACCTTACAACRCATGCTAATTGCATCCTCTATTTAGCCAAAAACCACTAATAACTCCCCAATAATTCAACAGTTCAAATTACTCAAGCTAGTATAGGCTACGATAGTGAGTTTCGTGTATTCTTTMTATATTATTCCGAATTGGGGATTGAGAGTGATATTTTTATTGTCTATATTWTTGTTTATGTTAATGAAGAAAACAGTGAGTTTGTCGTCTATTAGCCATCAATCTATCAAAGCCGTGTCAACATGGTTTCTTGTCTTGTTTGTTTTACCACCCACGAGCTCAGACCTAAGTTTCCTTTCTTGGAARAGAGGTTTCATTCACCAAATACGCTCACAACAAAATGCTTTTGTTCACCGCCCYCCAAAAATTGAAGGCTTCTGTTTCTTGACTTGAAAGGCCGGGCTAACATAGGATGCTACGTGATCGCCCGCTACTTGTGTTATTTTAGTTTATCCAGCTCAGAAATATTGGAGCACATCACAATACAGCCGGCAATGTTTCACAGTTTAAAAACCTCGGATACATAAGCCGTTTGTTAGATTTTTTTGTTGGCTAGTGTACAAGTGTTAAGAGGTTTTTCTTTGAAACAGAGCGTTTGAAATCTATGAAACAAAGTGAAATGGTCGAATAGACTGACCATAGTGCAAAGTGTGTTCGTCTAATATCACAGGCAACACAAAGCCAAGCCCTTTAGTTAAAGTGTAGTTATATATTCACTATCTGCAATGTTTCGATATTTTATTATTCTTTTATCATTGTACAAAATATGAAAAAGCACTCAATARTGTTGAGCAAGGCTTTGCTGGATCTAAATGGATTGTCATCTCAAAATGAAATCCATCAGAAAGTGTAAAAATAGAAAAATCTTCACCTAAACATGCTTGTCATCTATCATTTCTTATGTTAGAAAATTTCACTTCATCTAAAATAGGCTCGAAAGGGAAGTTAACGACATCAATTCATCAGTAAATGTCAGTAATATTTAGTCGTAAAGTAGGCTAGGTRTCGTCTTTCAAGCGGTAACAGTACAAACAGCCTGGTCTACGTTGATATTTAGGCAAGTATATTTGTAGCAAGTGTACTTTTTTGTTGTTGTCAGTTGTTGTTGTTGTCGTTGTTGTTGTTACGGCTGTCATTGTTGTTCRTMTTGTSGTCTATAAAACCGTTCCAATGGTGGCGGAGGACCCAACAAACGACGGACGAAGTAAYAAAATATTGTATYKCTGAATCAGAMTGCTGCAGAGAAGCCATTCGGTTCATCTTTCCTCGTTCCCTGATTACAAAATCGCCCGTTTCGTTTTTCGATCAAAAGTGTTTTTATTTCAACATTAAAGTATCATTTTCAACATCGGCTGCTGGGAAAATAATGGTCAAAGCGGAACTGTTCTGATCMTGAATCTTGATCTTGTTTGAACTAATTACTTTCACTCGGTSGAAAACAAACCTTTTATARAATTGTACGCCAAAAAGTACAATCTTAATGACATGTTTGAGATGCCTAACTTTGTTATTAACGACCATTATTTCAATATTCAACAATTGATTGGTTGGCAGTACTGTTTTTAATAGCTCGCTTTCTTCCGCTTATTTTTATGATGTTTTTAAAGAGAAACTCTAAATAAATACATCTTGGGCGTCATTTCACGGCTTGYGACTCATTTAAGGTAATTGATGAAGTAAATATCGTGCGTAGTGTTTTTTAACAGCTGACGGAACAGTTTACCCCCTACGTGTTACCCCTACAAAGAAACTCCCGGATGTAACTATCACGTGACTGCTAGGTTCGTAGTAGGAAAAATGAATTTAGTTGAMAGGAACTACAAGAACCAAATGTAGTTTTTAAAAGCTGTCGTGTGGATGCTGGTAAGATTTAAAATAGTTATGTTGTTGTGAGAAKTAATAGTCAAAAAAATCTCGAAATTTCCAATTTTTTTTTAATTCCAACAGTGAAAAGGCGTTCAGTGCCTTATTAGTAAACTTTTCTTTTTCAGTTAAAAAGACATTAGTCCGCGATACACTCGTTAAATTGTGTGACGGCTGCTCGGTCACGAAAAAACAGATCATTTTCTACACAAAATCAAAATTATCAAATTCGTGATTTGACTCAAAGATTCGCAGACACTAAAGAAACGGTCGAAACAACGGTGGTTTCATGAAGAAATGAAGAAATACTTATAAAATGGAAAATATAATTATCAATATCAAAAAAAAAGAAAAAAAACACATGAATCTTTTTATTGATGTCAAAAATTGTTTTTCCCATTTATATCTTGAAATAGTGTGTTAATCTCGGGGATTTCGACTTTATAAACATCAGCATGCTGACCTAACGACACGAAAAAACAAATACAAGGGTAACTCATTATTATTTATATGATATTTCAGGGTTTTTTTTAGAATTATAAGCCTTCCAAGACTATGTTTATTGATTGTCTTATATTAATTGTTGTTCTTTTAGTAATTAAGCTTMGGAGTCTATTTATATTCAGGATTTCTGCACGTAAATATTGATGTACTTTACTAATGTAATGTAAGATGCAACTGCTGGAGTTTATTCAAGACCTTTACATAATGTACTGTACGTCAAATCTCTCACTTAACCAGTTCAATCGAAATGTCAAGCAGAAACAAGTTTCATTTCCATCGACTTCGTCACATGTGAAATTCGGTGTAAAAACGTTTGTAAGTTCTTGAAAGCATTGGTTATACTATAAGCTACACATAWAACAGGATCTGTCTGTCGAAAAAGCAACCAAGAATCTTATCTAAATGGATGTTTACTATTTCCAAAGCTTTTTATGCCTCGAGGTCCCTAAAGAAAGTACCCTTAAAAACCTTTTTAAGAGTAGACGAAAAGAACAGTCAGCAGAGTGAGTTTGTAGTTTTTTTGTGTTTCTATTTTTCAATATTCGTTCTTAAAAACCATGAAGTATATTGATCCCTCAAGTAGTCAGTTGAAATGAGAATGGTTCCTTAGGGCATAACCTCCATCAAACGACTACCGCTTCACGATGACGAAGGCTCTAATTGATAAATAGTTCAAGTGAACCAAATCGCAATCGAASAAGATTTTATAACATGCCATGATAGGGGAAAATACTTGATTTTTTTTAGTTGAGTTGAGTTTTCAAAATATGCAAAGCAAACAGAAATATCAATATATGTAAAAAAAAAAGAATTAAAATTGAATTAGTTAGGAGATCACGAACAAATCTACAGAACAGCTTCATGGAATATCAACAGTTAATTTCACGTTAGCTGCATTTTCTAATTTCATTTATTTTTCTTTTCTTTCTCTTTTTTCTTTTTTTAATAGCTTTATTTGTGCGCAGTTTTCGGTTGGCAAAACTTACAGCCTACTAGGCGACTGAATCTTTGTGACATAAAGTATTCAGAGTTCGATCCAAATGAAACAATTTCAGAGTATCAGCTGTTGTTCTTAAAGGTATTACATATATCAGTGGATGTATTGGCGGCTTTGTTACTGGTTAAGATAACCGACACTAGATCGTACTGTTGTAAGTTTGATTACAGCAACAAATTACCGGCTCAAATGCGCCGATTGGAATTCCAATTAACAGTGAAATGGAGAACCAAAGTTGGGTGGAATTGAGGAATTTTTGTCAGTGTGTTTCTAATGTGTTTATAGTATTGGATGGATGGATTTATGTTGGATGAACATCGATCTTTTGTCAATTTTACTCTCGATTCGTGCGGTTCTGATATGTTTTTGGAGTCATTTTCTCTATGTTTTGGTTTTCGTTTCTCGTTTTTTCTTTCTTTTTTCTCTTCCTGCTTGTATATTGATCCATTCTTCCTGTCTGTCGCTTTTTCTTTTCTCTTTCACGCCTATCATCCAGTTTCTTTCTTTCTATTTTTCTTTCTTACTTGTTGTGCAACCCCCTTTTTTTCTCTTCGCTCTTTCTTTTTTTTTCAGAAAAGAGTAAAGTTTACTTTATACATTTTACTTATCGTTTTCAATTGCTTTCATGTGGGCGACGTTATAAAAGAAAACAGTCTTCGTATCGTTTGGTATATTGACCGACAATATCTGTTACATGATCTCATCGATCGATAACACGTTAGCAGGTATCAAATCATACAAGCTGARGCCCGAAAGGGTGCATGGGTAACAACAGAACTTTATTTTAGCGCTAGTAARGTCAGTACTTRATGTACGACCCTATGAATTGGCACTTACTAATATATTACTGTATCAGYGTTAGTGTTAGGTTTAGGGTATATATCGGTTGGAATTTACATGAAGTACTAACCGCTAGAGAGGTAAAATCTACCACTAGCTCCGAGATAAACTAGACGGTAATATATTAAAACTAAAGAACAGTTGAGATGAGAGGTCTTAACTAAGTGCACGCTTGACTGTGACGTKATAGTGGGTGGATGGTGACGTCAACATAGGGTTGCACTAAACAAAAACAGTAAATCGACTTTGAAAATAGAGTAATGTTAACAGAAGCTTTGGAGTTAGCGATGTTCTAATTGGGCTGGAAGAGGTTACTAACTCTCTACTCAATACACTTTAACAACTGTCTTTTGTACATTGTATTGCAAGTACATAACCTTCAAGTATTCTTGTATGTATAGTTGAATATTATCAGTAATCCGTCAAGGTGATAACGGCAGTACGTCATTGATATGATTCCCGAAGACTTCAGTTTTCTGAGACGGTCTGCTTTCTAAGTCAAACCCTTTTTCCCTCGCTGTTCGTTTATTTTATTCATTTAATTTTTTGTTCACTTTATTCCCCATTGTTTGCATATTTGTATATTTCATCTTTTTTTTGTCTGCTATATTTCAATGCATTTATGTTAAACGAAGAATYTTTCCCATTTTCTCGTTTATTTTTGTTTATAGATATATAGAGAAGAGATTTGTTTTCGTTTCGTGTTCACATWTCATTAAGACCCTTAAATTGCTGGTATGACGTAAGCGTTATGTGATTAACACGTACTTACGTACTTACCATTAGATCAACAGCATCTAKCAGTGAAGTTGTCAAAACTCTTTGTCAGGATCAAACACCGAGTAGAAAATCCCTGGCTAGAGTCATTTTCATCCGTCTGTGAATTTTACTATTATACTATTATACAGCCTTTTGCAAAAATTATGAGAATTGTCTAAATATCTAAATATCATAATATCCATATCCATATATTGTCCGGAACACGCGGGTTTGCTAGAATAATTCATTGTTGACATCGAGAAAATGTTCAGAACTACGGATAAGTCCGTCGCCAAAAAAAACTAAACAACAAAGACAAGGGACTAAGGGCATCGCGCGGGATCATGCACTTGATATTATGATATTTATATATTTCAACAATTCTCATAATTTTTGCAAAAGGCTGTATATTATTTTATATACTATTAGCTCCAAATAGTTTAACTTATGACATGCGACAAACTATTAGGCAGACACGGTTTTGATTTTGTCTTTTGGTAGCCTACTACACCCTAATAGTTAGTATTAAACACTGACTACAATGTAGTAGTAATTGTTTCACAGACGGGTGAAAATGACTCTGATTATCGACTTGTTTTGATTTGGCTGTAATCGTTTTGTTTGATTTGTTTTGTCTTTTATTGTTGTTGTTTTGTTAATGTTATCGGATTCTATTCTTCTTGTATMCTTTTGTCATATACTTTCATTTTCCTGATTATAATGTTTCAGCTTCTTTTTCATTAMGGAGAGTTTATCCATTTATCATTATTTCTATTATTATTTTGTGCGTGTCTTTAGGCAAGTGAGTCCTGTTTTTGTCGTTTTGAGTCCTCTGTCTTTGTAAAAGTTTTTAGATAAAACGTCTAATGTCACAGTCGATATACACTTGTATATTGCGTATAAATAAAGAATAGAAAACCTACCAAAGTATAACAATGAGATGGGCTATTATCACAATAGWTTGTGCACTTTTCTACTCTTTCCGGCTCTCGAAGAACGTCCTCCARATTTTGATTCTTTCAAGTTGATAGAGTAGAACACGGCGCGACGCCTTAGGGTGTCATCCCGTTCCAATATTTTTGATAATTAAGATAARGAGAAAACTAGAAATTCTTTATTGGTCTTGTTATTCAATCCASCTGGCGATGGTTATTCGAATGAGCATTAACTTCAAGTACTTCAGATCAAAACACTTGTTGAACAAGCTGTTATTTAGACGAAATAAGTAAAGAAAAAACTTTTAACCGGACTTGTTGTGGTCTGTTTTACAGCTRRTAATATCAACAACTGATTGTGAATCTATATTTGTGAGCGTTCATGAGTGTCTGAATCGCGTGAGTCGGCCGGCAGCATACTTTTTGCAAAAAGTGGACCAAGAAACATCTCCAAATGATTGCAGTTTTGTGATGGAGCTGCTGAGTCTTTTGTGTTGATTGTGTAAGAACATCAACAATGAAAATGAAAAGCAGTTAAGTCTAACAATAGAGAGACCCTCTAAAGCGGCTTTTATCATGAACCGTCCATGTGTATCTATGAATACATTGCTGAAATTCTGTTGAACTTATGTCCCGGATGACTAAGTTCTTGACGAACGCGTTCGTGATGTAGAAAGAAAACATCTAACATGTCGTCCACTTTCTCTTCAGAACAGCTCGCCATCATCGCTCCACTTGGGAGATAGAAAAGAAACACTCGGATAGGATATCATCAATATTAAAGAACCAAGAAGCAGAGATTACAAGAGACAATGGATACTACCGCTCTACCTTTATCAACAAATATATCCAACGCGACTAACGCGACAAGTTCTGCGATGAATGCTGTATTTGTGGAGAGTATATACTCAAGGGTATTCCGTCTGTTTATGTTTACAGTGTCTGGGTTAGTGTCATTGGTTGGAAACACCATGGTGATCTATATCACGTACAATAATAAATTCATGCGAACTTTTGCTTATTTTCTGATTGCAAACTTAGCTGTATCTGACGTGTTGTCGACACTTATTCTACCATTCATGGTGTTTTATTTGGAAATAGGAAAATGGACTTTCGGTGAAACACTTTGTAAGATTCTRAACCCGTGTTTTACCGTCTTTGCTGTCGTCACAACCAACACACTTGTCGCTATTGCCTGTGACCGCTTTCGCGCTTTATTATTCCCATTCAAGCTGAAACCCTCGACTTCAGAAACAAGACTTATCCTTGCTATCATTTGGTTGTTAGCATTTTTAGTGTCTTTGCCAAGCTTCGGGTCCAGAACTATAGACGCACAAGGATATTGTTTGGAGATTTATTCAAATGATCCWCAAGAACACCAACTTTATTTGCGTATCTATACGGTCTTCCTTTTCCTCTTCAACAATTTCATTCCTTTGGTGGTGATACTGTATCTGTATATCAGAATTACAATGGCTTTGAAACACATTTCTTTCCGGCCTCAGACTTTCCAGCTAAATAGGCCATCGTCCCTMGCAGGTCGAGAGAGCCCGGGATCCAGTCCTAGAAACTCAGTCGTGCTAAGGAACGCCAACGTGGCGTCTGCTAACAAAAGACAAAAAATGGAGTCYAAATTCATCCGAATGCTGGCCATGGTGGTTTTGGTGTTCTTYTTTTGTTATGTTCCGTTTCAAGTGTTTTTTCTACTTTACACTTTTATTGTGTTGCCGATGGACTCTCCCACGTACTATGCAAATAACTACTTGTTTCTTTTAATGTGGATTCCCAATTCTATTAACCCAATATGTTATGCTGCTCTCAACGAACGCTATGCAAAAGCCTTCAAGAAAATTCTTGGTAAAACATATAACAATGTCAAGAGACTGGGAACTAGTATGCCTTCCCCTAAAAGTACGTACTCAGTAGGYCTATCGCGACGGAAGTCCTCACCAATCTCTGTGTGARCTACTGGCAACTCTCAATCGATCACTTTGAGCTTGTATGTGAAAAGGTTTCCGTTGTTAGGCACTAAGTAAGCTCATGAAGACTAGCTCTATAACCCACGTGGTCACAAAGCGACGTAAAACCGGACGCGACCATTATTCACTAGAACTCGCCAGACTGAATAGACTTTCCTGTCTACTTAATAGTAAAGGATAACTCGTCTGACTTTGACTCTACGGCACGCTCATGAATAAGTATCTAAAAGTGTGGTTAAGCATAAAAATGACTATTACTGCTACAAACTGTTATTTATTCTATAAATGTTTATCACGAGTGCAGTAGACACCATGTGGTGTCAAAGCAGKTTCATCTGGAGGACAAAACAAAAGATTTTTGCTCTCTTGGGAACTAGAATTCATTGTTTTGTCTTCCAGTTGGAGCCGAATTCCCATGAACTGCAAGGGCTGTAAAGTATTATTTAAAAATCGTCAGTTTTGTGATGGACGTGATTCGGTTTAGTATCCAGTAATGAACATTAAAATCAATAACGCGTGTAAATTCGGCAGAATTTAATTGCTCTATCGCATAATGACGTCATAGCATGTTTATAGTCGGAATAAATGACCGGAAACTATGAATATTTGGACCTATTTACATTCTTTCCCTGAATTTTATCCAGTTTTGATATGTTCGAATTTCCATGTATCAATGATTGCTCATATTCTTTGATATGCAGTCATTCTGTTCCCTCTGGCGTCCATAATGGTTAATATGTTTCGGTGTGACGTAATTATGCCACAGGGCAACTCGAGGTTAATAGTTGTATTTAGCCTTCATTGTGTTTTCGGTGTTGTGTACAAGAGTGATGAATAAAATATCAGTGTTTTAATCGAGATTTGAATGGATAATCTTGGACAAACATTTCTTGCTAACGGGTTTTGCATCGGAACAAATGAAACAGGTGCTTAGCGAGTTTTTTTTCGGGGGGGGGAGGGGGGAGACCATTGCAAAAGGCTTGAAAAATCGTATCTTTCAATTTTTTTGTCAATACAAAGACACTTACTTAGTGAAGTGAAATCARGCAAGGCCCTTTGCTTCGCAATGCTACTACTGCTGGGAAAATCGTAAACAGTCAGGGAAAAAACCCTCAAATGCATCAATATTACCATTTTAACAAAGTCGGCGTTTTCTTATATGGACAAGTGTACAGAGTCGTGCCCTTTTTTGTCGGTGGCGCGCCAAAGGGTAGCATGGATAACACGACTCTCACCGGGATACCTGTGCCGAATGGAGTGGAAGACTAGAAGAGAATTCATAAAACCTAACTTGAAATCAAGTTTATTTCGTTAAAAATCGAAGCGCTATTMCAAGTGYACGGTTTGACACTCACTCACTCACTTTCCTGTAAACTTACAATTGTTTGTTACTAGTTAATATTGTTTATTTCGAAGTCTGTTTATTCTTATAAGCTGGTAATTCATCTATATGGTGCTCCTGTGCTTTTACAATTTCTTTTCCTTCTTTCACCAAGCTTTGATTCGATCCGCCGTCCTCTCACTTCTGAGCCAGGTATCTAACTTAGCCAGAAGTACAATTGTTACGTCACGAGTCTTTCACTTAGCTTTTATCCAGAATTCGCTTTCTTGTGTATTGTATGTAAACTAACGTGAATACGAATCAAACAATATYTTCAAGACCTTTCAAGAGAACTAAAAAAAGACTTTGCATTCTGTTTTTAACMTTAAAAATGCAAAATTAAAGATAATTAAGATTCACGTCGAACCCATAACGACAAATTGGCTTTGATGGTTTATRTTTAGAATGACAATACACGTAAAAGTCCTTTCAGTAAAAGTCCTTTCAAGGAAAAAGTTATTTGCTAATGCACCAAAAAAAGATCTTTTTATATACCAACACAAATAAACGACGAAGAGTAGATTCAGAAAAATAAAACACACGATACCGTGATCACGTGATTAGTCTGAGGTTTGGGGTCGTCTGTCGTAAACGTGAATCCTAATCTCTCTAATGAACTTAAAATTGGAATGTCTGGGATATTAGCTTGAAAGCCGACCCCTTGCTTCATTGAAACGTCGAATCAGGCCAGTAGGCAACATTTGAAGCAATATTGGGTAAACTTACGCCTCAAGCCAAAATATATTTCGGAAATGATTGGCCATTGTATCTCTTCATTTACTAAACATTGTTAATTATTTTAATGCATTGTTAGATATCGGTGTTTGTGTAGAACGCCATATATGGGACAAGCGAAAGTAAAAGCCCACAACAGGTGAATTACCATTCCTACCTTCCTGCGCGCAAGCGCTTTCAACATTTGTTTCAACATTTGTTCGATTTTTTTTAGCTAAACCACGCAGGTTCTWGTAATACGTTTTTGAAATCACCGCGCAAACATTTTGGAAAAATCTTTGAACGGATATGCTGAATCAAAGTTTAAACGATTTTAAAGTGATTAAACAATGTTGAAACGTGTTGAAAGCTCCGCGCAACAACACAGGAACAAAAAGTTGAACGAATGTTGAAAAAACGTTGAAACGTTTGCACCGGCCTAAATTCTTCGACTAGACATTAATCACGACGGACAACACTGCTAAGCAACGATTTTTTGTAACATTTAAAAGTATTTTGCATTGCAAATATCAGCTAAATTGGTTAAATTAGTTAGACACTCCTTCCAAGGCTTAGTGTTATTCAGTTTTAATAGTACGCTTTCCTTTCTTCAAATAAGTGAAYAGGGATAAAAAATGACTGTTAAATAGGTAAAAGGGAAGCATCGCGTTGGGCTGACTAATGACTGTACGGCGTAGTTTAATACAGACAATAAGAGTCAAACAACAACAGGAAAAATTGAATTATTATTTTGTAAACATTAAAAAATATCAGATTAACCGCTTCCATCTCCGCCAGGCATCTCTCTGTGTCACCGGCGAACCTTATCCTGTACAGTTTGATGAGATACTTGCTATTAATGATTTCTAGAAAAGGATGGAATGGCCTGGAGTTTTGTCTGATAGCTATAGTAATTGGCATTTATTTTATATTCGGCAGCATGCCGTGCAAGTTTCGCAAAACATGAAAAGAAGCTCTAYCTAGACACAACAAGTCATTTTGTGGAACTCCCAATAGTAACAAACTTTATTTCTCGAATTGTTATAAGAAGAAGAATGATTACTATATGTCATTGCTACATACATTCCATATTAGATAATCAATCATTCGTTATGTTTGTTGCTTTAGGCAACCAACAACGTTTATATAACATGACAAAACTCGTCTCCTTCAAAAACGCCGATGGCATTTTACTTCGAGTTTCTTGTAGGTGTTGTTTCCTTACTTTAAACATAGTGGGCGTCATTACTTGCATAATCAAGGTGTTTTAAGTTATTTTCCTTAAGCTTCTCGACTTTTTTATTCTTACATTTTTTTACACCTGCTAAGTGTCGTTGTCAGTTTAGCTTTTAGAAAATACTGTTTTGTCGTTACATATGCAACAATGAATGTCTTTATTTTTTGTGAACTATGACTCAACCAGACTAACCACAACTGAATTAGTCTCAAAGTGTTGCTTATGTCATACAAAGCCACTTTTTTTCTTAATGTATATCGTCTCCAAGTTGAGTACAGAGGCAATATAAAGTAATTTGCCATGCAAAAATATCGATGAAATGTCTTTAACGTTTCCGCACTGCCGAGGGTTCAGTATAAATTGTGTATATCTTTGCGCTGGGCAAGAAGCGTCTGACATGAAGATGGGTAATTATTTATGAGCGTAAAAATATCCTCATCCACCATTAGCAAAAGTGACATAATTTTAATCGAAGATACATCAATAATGAATACAAGTGATATCTCTTCTTTTGATACGGATAGCTTTGTTATTCATCAGACCTTTGKATCMTCCTCAGTGTTTTAGGCAAAGTTTAAACCTCAATCATTTGCATTTGCTGGGGCCCTGATCCTGCCGCACTGTTTCCATTGAATGGCCGACTCATGTAGCTTAMAATACGCTTAAGTTCTTTTTTGTAGTTCTGTACGTACAGGAAGTAGATAGCTGGATTGACTGCYGAGTTAGAYTAGGCTAAGAAAAAACTYAAGTGCACAAAGAAATCCCAGGCACAATCCATAGGAGGTCTGAAGTCGTATTTGAAAGAGATTAGTAACAAAAGAACGCCATAAGGYCCATAYCACAYAGCACAAGCAAGGACTATCGTAAAAGCMAGCTTGACTACTGTTCTTTTCTTACGGTCCCTTAGTGCGCGACCCTCGGATCGATCTCCAATGACCTTCTGAGTGATGAGAACTTTGGAAATACCCGCATAGATGAAGGTCAGAATCACAAAAGGCACAAAAATAAAAGCAATGATAATAAATATCGTGAAGMTTTTTTGAGCCTTCTCMTGGTRAAACGCRGGGCTCCATACACTAATACAATACTTCTTATAGTGCTTGTCRAGTCGAAACGTGTAGAAYTATGGTGCAAGGACCCCAAAACTGATCAACCAAGTTAATGATATGAGCACCCATCGCGGTACAAATGTTCTTTTGCGCAYYGGAAATATCACAGCGTAGAATCGGTCACAAGAGATGAAAATCAGACTCAAAACGGACACCATGGGAGTTACATCTGAAAGAAAGTACACCAACTTGCACAGGATTTCCCCTGTTAATCCAGAAATCCCCCAAGTAAAATCATTGGTAGTGATTTCTTTCAGTTTACGAGGAATCACAAGGATCGGAATGAAAAGATCTGACACCGCCATGTTGACAATGAAATAATTGGCCGAGTTTCGGAGCGATTTATTTCTGTACACCACGATAATCACCAAAATGTTTCCCAAAAGAGCGAAGAAGAAGAGAAACCCATATAGCACGATTGAAATGATCTTGAAGYCTTCGGTTTGGCTTGAGCAAGGCTCTTTCACTATACCAGACACTGAGCTGTTGTTCATTTTGCGGCCCACACGTTGTGTTTCGTTGTACTAAAGCCTTTTCTATGTAGTTGTCGTTATTTAACTGACGGAATGACGTCATGCACTAGTCTTGATGGCGGCTTATCATCTAAGAGGAAAAGAACTCGTTAAAACAACAGTCAAACAATTAATCAGTTCTGCATGACAACGGCTAGACATTCKCGATATCCTATCAAAACCTGATAGACTAACCATTGGGAATAAATAGATAGTCAGATCAGGGTTAAAACTGCTAACCAAGAGACGGATTCACAATAAAGCTGTAAATAGCATACGGCTGACAGGTTCACTTAAGATCGACCAATAACAAAACAAGTGGTATATGATGGTGTTTTTTTCCGCGCATCTAGTTAATGAAATCCTTTTGGCGCCAAGGCAAGTTTGCTAAGTTCTTCGTATGTTATAATTAAAGAACTCCRATGGTTTATACCGATAAAAAGATGAAACCTGATCGTTYTATAGAAAAAACTCGAAATTACGAAAACCGATAATGATTTCCCAACCATTGCCCCATAGAGATTGCGGCTTGATAACAGAAATTTACATGGAAACGAAGATAATACAGCCRWAAGGTAGCAGTGATTAAGAACCTCTTGTTTGAAGAGGATAATAATATWGTCACGCACTTTAAAACCAGTATGGACTTGGGAAATTTTACAAAATACCCATTTCCTCTCGGTYCTTTTTCAAACTCATCCAAAAAGTTCCTGTTGATTCGTAATTGATAAAAGTACTAAACCCCACCATGAGATCATGTGAAGTTTTTATAATACAAATTAGGGCAAATTTTAATTTTATGGCAATATYAGATTTCAGTCATTCCTTCAAAAAAACCGCAGACTTATTAGTGTATGTTATGTTTATTTAGTATTGTTTTTTTATTAGTGTGTGTTATGTTTATCTAGTATTTTTGTGTTTAATATTTATCATACAAAGCCGACTATCTGTAKTCATTTTGTGTTCATTTTCAATGAAGTCTCTTTCAAAACAAACAATTATTAAGATGGACAAGATAAATCTAGCGGTGATCGTCGTGTYACTGCGTTTCAGAAAAGGTGACAAACAGACGACTTGCAGTTTGCTTCAAAACAAGGAAAACAATTTAGAATATCGCTCGTCACTATGGTGCTCCCATAGACCCCGSCCTAGAAGACCAATACAACGCTTTAGTTGAGTGGCGGAACATGACAAAAAGCAAAAAAACTGACAAACAAGTTATTGGTAATAAACTAGTGCGATATCAATCATGTTAACATCGTGTCTTCGCGATGGCCAAAGCGCATGCGCGTATTATATAATGACGTGTTTGATTTAACCAATCACATTGCTACTTAAGTTTAGAATTTCTTATTTTTTACGCAGGCATAATCCTCTGCGTTTACATGAGCTTAGGCCGAAAGCTCAAAACATCATGTAAATACAGAGGATTCATTTATTTTTACTACATTGCTACTTGTCCAAATTGTGCACGAGCTGTGTGTTGTTAACAAACTCCTGGCTTCACTGAGTGTTCAAAACCTCGAGTGGACGCACAAGAAGAGCGAGTGGGATTGCTGTTAAGTGAAACAGGCCCTTTGAGTAGTTATGCCATCTTCACGGATATTATAACACCGAGTACAAGACAACGATCAGAGATTAAACAATATAACCCATTAACCAATTAACTTACCATCCAAGAAAATTAGAGACGAGAACCATCCTTTATCACTACAATATGAATTTGACATTAGCTGCCWGACAAGACTTAATTGAAACCAGATCTGAGTAGCAATATGAAAAGATCATAATCCAGTATGCTTTTTTACCTTTTATATCGTCTAGACATGGTATACAATGTATTATGCTATGTGTATTTTAGTCYGACCACGCAATTACTTTCCTTGTTTTCGGAAGGAGCTCAAACCTTTTAATGAGTGTCCGTGAAACAGCTGGCTTTTAGCACTGCACGCTAACCAAAATATGTCTGCGAATCTTCACAATTTATTGTTAAAATATATAAGTTCGTTTCGTTTGGCACAAACTGTATTTCTGCTAGGAATTTATTAAACGGGTCTTCAACTATAAACGGCTGGGGCCATCACCACCCACATTCAGCTCTACACAGTGTCTGATATCGATGATACTGGTAATAAATAACAATCAACATACTGATAAGGAATATTGCATTAAGATTGTTTATGTATATGGATGGTGTGGTTCCAATAGGTGTAGATTTCGCTTCTCACACCAAACCGATACTTTCTATTGATTCACGTTCTGCCCCGGTAGGCAAAACCGTTCGAGACCAGGAGCAATTTCAACTAAAATACTAGTAAATCAGTAGCTTTACATGCGCAGTGAGGAGATTACCATTTCTAGCAGAGAGGGAAAACTTATCACCGTTTAATGTTTAATGGCAAAGTTTATCCCTCAATCAAAATCAGTTATATATTTTTTTAGTTTTTTAGCTTAATGTTGAGCGCATGTAGGTGGTGTACGTTTTTTTGAATAAATTGTCTGTTAATTACTAGTTCCAGTAGTCTTTTTTTAGAGTTGATCCATCGAGTAAATATTATCATTGACGGCCTTATCTTATGTTTGTTGATCTAAGTTTCTATGCAGACAGTCTCCACTGAAAAGCAAACTATCTTTGAGCTTCTGTTCGTTGTTCACTTCCACAATTTTAACACAACACTACTAACKSTTCTGWATTACTAGGTTTTTTTGAGTTATCAACTTGAAATCGATAGACTGTAAAAAATTCCCGATGACTGAATTTGCTATCTGGGACACATGTCCATCTCATGTATTTTTTGCAATGTATACCAAACAAGACATTACAATACCTTTAATGTCGATTGGTTTAAAACAGGTCTAAATGGCTGCCATCTTTAGGTGCAGTTGTGTTTTTTAGATCCTGTTGTTTTTCTTGTCGTTGATATCGAGATACATATATTGAGGAAATTGATCATGAGTTAAACATGACCGGCTCGTTTACAACCTTCATTAGGCCATGCTATAGCGGAGTTTTCAAAAGGATCCGAGGAAGCTTTAAAWWTTTTTYGATAGAAATAGAACAGGACGAACTATGTCGAGTTGGTTGTTAAAAAGGGACTGGTATCTAATCTTAAATTCGATGAGGTAGGTGTAATCCAATAAGCTTGCCCAAAGAAGAAGACAACAGACAGAAATGTTCTTGTTCATTGTTCTTGTTGGATGAAGTTTGAAGTAATCAAGAAAAGATTCCATGACAAAGAAAAAAAACTATACTTAGTATTTCTACAGACTTTTAGAGTATGGACGAATAATTACGGGGCAGCGTCTATAATTCGAATGAAAAATCAAGGACTGACTTATGAAGCGTTTGAGCAGCGTCCAAGACAACCAAACCTAAAATGTAGTATGGTTTCTTATGTGGCGAGGTTCAGTTTTCGACAATTGAACTCTTTTCATAATCGTTCTCATTGTTCGGACAATGATATAATGGGCCAATAATGGGTGAAAAAAATGATAAAAACCATGTTACAAAACTTGCTTGATATTCGATTTCAATACTTTGTTCTTGATTTCGCAAAACCTCAGTGCCTAGCAGTGTGTGTAAAATATCCTGCTCCATCCATTAAGTACCATGAAACATTATAAGACTACTACATGCCTTCTCCACAACATGTCAAAATCGTCTTGAATTTAAAGTAATGCAACAATTCCTAAAATCGTATTAAATAGTACAAAGTCGCTTTACGTTGATTTCTCCACAGGACCCAAATTCTATCGACGTCCGGTCAAGATCTTTAAAAATTCAATTTTGAGTGGTTTTAGCGTACTATTTGCTCAAATCATAAAAGATTACTATCACCTTTGAAAGCTCTCTGAAAACTGTCATGCTGAGGAGAAGTGCMAGCAATAGATTGATAATTTCCAAGGATTATTCTGTTAACAGTATCTGACAAACCTATAGTATTTATAATTCATTATCAGCGTTATTTTTATYCTGTAAGTATAATTACTGGAAAACCTTTTAAGGAGTAGTTATAAAAGTTATTATTATTAAAAAAAACTTACTTAAAAAACGCGTTTAATCTCCTGCGCKATCTCCTGCCATTATTCCCAAAACGCCTGCAGTGACTGTGAAAGCGCCTTCAATATCAGTTGATAATAGCTTCCAAGATAGATATCACGAGACAAAGACGATTTTAAATTCTTTAAARTGACGAAAGGAGGTGCGGATAAACACATAGATTATGTTTGCATGAGTGACCCTATAACCATGATTAATGCAAAGGRTATTTTTAGAAGAAAACATTCAAAATTGCCCCTCCACTGGAGTGAACGCTAGACCCAACAGCCCATTTGATCCATCCCTCCCAAAATATTATATTAATATTTTCCAGATGGCGTACTTGACTCATTAAAAAGAATTTAAGCTGGTGTATTGATTCATCAAGCAACAAAAGACCAACGCGCACTCTTAGTGGACCACCATAGTATGTGTGTGCGCGAAGCCGTGTTTCTATCTCAATACCCTAGATAAGCACATGTTAATAATTCATTATTTGTGATTGTCACTATGGTTTCTGTCAGTACCTAACACTGAAACATTGCCTTTGAATTGATCTCAGGCGTTTAATTAGCTGATGTTCTTATCGAAGTTTTGCTAAGAAACAGTTTTTGATTTCTTTGGAATTTTTCACTCAAATCACCCCGCAAACAAAGCAGTTAAAGTCTTGCATGCACACTTTCCTACACGATTGCTAAGAAACTAGTTTCTGTCTTGTATTGTACGTCTTTGTGGTCTTTGCGCGCACGATTGCAAAAACCAGGGACGAAGCTGCCATGAATCAAACGAAGTCTCATCTAAAAGCCAATTATGCACAGTTCTAATAGGCTGAACTACTGTGTTAGTTTTTGGCACTCGGTAYAGATTTTGACATAACAAAACTAATTACTTTTCTCCGTGTTTTTTTTTTTTGTTCAAGAAAAACAAATCATTGAAAGGAGAGAGAGAACAGCATGATGTCTAAAAAAATGACCACTAGTGGTAAATTTGTGAACTATGTATGTATAGTTTATTTTATTTATTCATTATCGTACATTCTTTTATTGATGAAGATATAGTGAGGCGATATTTAGCTATAGAAATGTGAGATTTGATCGTGTGTTACTCGCAACATCTGACAATCAATATTTCTGATATCAGCTGAATCCAGCACCATGTCGATTATCATTTGATATTATCTAAAACACCATTCGATCATTTTCTTTACCGGCTTATTCAAGTGTCAAGAGTTTWAATGGAAAATCCGGTGACTAAAAAAGCCATTTTTACCGTTTAAGAGGGTCGAGTCAATAATAATATCACCTACCAGAAAATACTTGACGTCAAACGACAAAAACAAGATAACCACCAATTAACCATTAAAGATTACAGAAGGCTCAGAGAAGGCTTAGTCGAACATGTCTTCTTCAGTGACCTTTAATTCATTTGTGATCACTTCTTAATTAATGTCAAATTCTATTAGCGCAGTCAGAGCAAAAATTACAAGACCTTTGCGATTATGATCCAAAACGACAACTATATCTATTAATAACAAAACAAACACTGAGCCGGGAGTAAAAAAAAAACAGCGCCGACAACCATTAGACTGAATATTCAGTAGGATATMAACACTTACAATTTGTGATTTAGGTGTATTAGTAACGCTTCCAGTACCAGCACTAAAAATGTCTGTTTCTTCCAAAAGATAATTGAAAACTGCTTCCCACTTTTGATTTTCGGCTGTAGGAGGAGTGTACGTGACACTTGTCACTCTAATAGCGTTGAAGTAATGCGGCTTTAGCTATAGGTTGAAAGCCGTTTCTTGCATAAATTCGCAAATAACGATTTTAATACTAATCTGGGAATGATAAAGAAACGATTTGCTCAAGATTTATGGTTATGATATCATGTGAACACCTCCTGAATTGCTATCTTTTCATCGTAAGCYTAGTGGAGGTCTTGTTCCCCCTGCGTTTTTCTATGCATTTTTGAGTTTATCCATTTATTTTGTGCGTTTTCCATTTGTCAGAACTGGCTGGTCAGACCCAGAGAAAATGTCATTATATATCATTCCCATTTAGTTAGGAAATTCAAATTTTCAAATTCTATCCATTATTCTACAGAAAACCTCGAAATGACTGAAAAATGTTGGCAAAAAGCATTATATACCTCTAAATAGAGTGGACTGGCCTAAAATGGAAAGCACCCTTTGTAAGGGTTGTTTTATARACGATAAATGGCATGATTATATATTACAAGCACTGGAATCAGCGCAAATGCTTCAATGATGAGCAAAAACAAAAGCATTTAAGTAAATGGTTCTAAGTGTAAAAGCTAGAACAATATTTTTATGATATTACTTGCTWTAATCAATACCTGTATCGCCTATCCTCCAAGGATTTCTAAATTGTTGTGTCACTGAGTTTTAAAGACGGAYAACTTAGTGGTATTGATCCAAAGACCTGTGTGTATTGACCCGGACCGCACTATGCCCGGATCTCYACCACTATGAGTGATATTGATCATCACTTTACTCAAAGAATATTTCAATCAAATAATATTTCAAAGTTTAGCATATCATTTAATTTCATGAAATTGAGTTTTCACGAATTGTGGGGTTTTTAACGGCATGAAATATACAGTGTCGGGCTTTGGTCGAACCAATGATCAGTTTGGAATTACTGCGATATTTGCCCGAAGCTTTTCTAGAAAATCAAAACGTGCTGGGCTGCCTGTGTCTACCACGCTCTACGTGTGTACTAGAAAACTTAAGGCGATTGAAATACGTCACACATTTAGTAACTAGCATATATATCTTGTGTTCCACCTTCGAAATATTCGATCTTTTCTGAAATCATACCTTTTTAATTTGTTAAATTCTTGTAAAAAGAGGACATAATAATATGAAAAAAGAACCCTCTAAAAACAGGACAAAACATAGCAAAATTTCTAATTTTTTTTCTTCTAATTTTCTATTTTTTTCTAAATTTCCACTGGTAATTGAGAATGTAGTTGTGACAGCCAAATATTATGAATATGCTAATTAGTTGTGAATGTTCTAGATCATATCTCATGGTTACACGTTTCAATCTCTTAATCAGCGTTCCTTGTTGTGTTGCCACTTCAGTTTATCAGCTCCTACGTCTTTCATTCGTTCTATTCTCAGTCTTGTCATCACCAATCCCTAACCTTTTGTTCCAYTTCTCCTCTCCTCATTTAACACAGGAAATCCAATACAACGAATTAGCCAGGACTGTTTTGAATTGAGCGTTTAGACATGATGTACAAATGCACGTCGCGATCGCGTCCCAGCGACGCGGTTTTTGTACAACAAACCATGGGAGATTTTCTTACAGAAAGATAGCTAACGGCACKACAACTTCCATCTTTAGAAGAATGAAAAACGGCTTGGCTCCATTTTGGTGGAAATATAAAAGTACGAGAGAAACATCTACGTTGTTTGTAGAAATTGACGTAACTTCACAAGACAAAAGGGCTGTTTACGTCATGAAACTGAAGATCATTCCTAAAAGGGTTGCTATTTTCATTCATTTCTCCTCTCGAATGAAATGCGTGCAAATCGATCATTTGCTCAGTAGTTGACTTCAGGCTGTTTTCAGTTCAATCGGAAGTTCACTCATAAGTGCGCTTCCCGCAGTTTTCTTCTTCCCCTTTTCTTTTGACRGGCTRCGCTTTTGACTTGAAGTATGGACAAACKTTTAATCAGATATTATCTCGATGTAATCTCGATGTATAACGTGACTTCGAATACAGCAAGTCAAGTCCTTACGCAAACACTCATTTCAAGGGCTTCTCATAAGACCGTCTATACAATACTCCACTTGAATATAACGTCAATTAAATTGTTAAATCTGCTTMGATAAATTATATAAATAGCTATCGTATATTCTTTTCCAGAGTTCAGCTGGACAGACTGAAGGTGTGTTTCAACGGAGAAAATCACTCCTTTATGCCTTGCATTGAGAGTACTTTTATATGCCTTAACGACTCATTTAAACTGTATCTTACCAYAATGATACATAAATCTAGTTCTCGATTTCTGATTGGTCGAGAGCCGTGGTAAAAAAAGTGAATACCACAGTCCTGGGTGATTTATTTGCGACCAGGCCTGCATATGAATTCGCCAAGGTTGTAAGCCAGTGAGCCCGTGCATTTTTGTTAAGCGGTCATATTTGAAAGTGTAAATAAAGGAAAGGGAAAACCCGCAGCTCTCCTTTCACTCAGATAAACAGTACAAGTCGTGTTAAATTTATTTACATAACTAAACAAAATGAATATAGAATTAAACCTTTAAGAATTGAATGCTCAGTATCAAACATTTTCCACCTTAAATACACACGTGTTTTTCAGAAGGGAATTTAGTCGAACTTTTTTCACGATGGAATTTTGTTTTGAGTCGTTTCAACATAAACAGTCGCTATCAAGACATTACGCGAAAAACCCCAGTCACCGTTCTAGCCCTCATTGTAAGGTCAAAGCTAGTAAATGTGTAACCGACCTGTTACATAACGTCAACCTGTTGTATCGTCGAGCACGCTTGCAGCTTATTGCCGAAAATGCGGATGAACTACGACTGTTGTCACTACAAAAAATAACAAACGCTTTAACTCTATTGGAATACGTGGAGCTAAGCCGCTCTAGCTCTTTCAGTGATGTTGTAGATACCTCAAAGCTTAGAGGAAACAAGAGCTAAGAAAAAGGATTTGCAATGGTTCCTCCTAAGATACTTTGGACTTGAACGTCGCTTCAACGACCTTCTGAAGTCTTCGTGAAGTCCGCCATTGCTTGGCATGCAATGGAGAACCCGCGTAGAACACAGACCAATTATTTTAATCAGGGAGGGGAGTCTCTAGGTATTAAAGAAAAAATTATTTGTATTTCTTTTTTAAGATAAAATTCTATTTCTATAACGATAAATATTTGATTGACATTTAATAAAAGCTATTTTATAAAGATTTTCAATTTTTCTTTGCGTTTAGCTTTGATTTTTCGGATAGAATAAAATGGCAGGCAGCCTACTCCACTSMYTCGASTTTTGCTGTGCAAATTCCTCCCGTCGGGGGGCTATGTTTACAACATAAGCTTGTCAGCTTTGCGCTGATTGGCTAGTCGCATTTTCCCAAATCACCCAGTCATAAGAATGTTCTTTTTTCTGGGATTGTTACTCTAATCGTAGAATATTTTTTTGTGATCGACTTCGTCTCGTGGATGAATAACAATTTTGACGATTCGATGAATCCAACCGCSGTAAATAAGAGAACACAGAGACACAATTATTGTCCATAAAAGTACTTGACAATGAGGACAGTATGACCTCGAAACGTCGTAAAAATCACTTGTTGTCTTTATCGTTTATTTTACTACAGAGAAACTAAAACATAAATTTGTCTTATAAATCATAACTATTTTTCCAGTGGTTGGGGATGTTAGAACCTTTTCTTTAGTTTTTTTTTTCATGTTTCCCACCCGCAATCTCAGACTAACCTTCAAGGCGTTCTAATTGCCATGTAGATGCAGGTTTTTGACGAGAGAAGAAACGGCTCCTTGTGACAAGCAAGAGCGGCACAAGTTCAGGTGTAGCCAGGAGTTTTTCTGATGTTGACAATGTTGTTTCTTAATTAATATGAGTGCATTATTGATGAGGTTTCAATCACAATTGGCTGTTTTTTAGTCATTCTATTGTATGTTCAGATCGTTAAACCCACGCTAATGCCAATSATGAGTGGTGCGTTATATACACTGTATAATTTGTCTATCGTTAACTAAATTATGACTTCAAGGTCGACTGAGGCAAAGGACTGCCTCGACGCGGCGGGTCCATCTTTGCTGGAGGATGSTGTGATAAGAGTTAGACAAGAAAGAAATAATTGAAACTCTCTTAAAGTTCCTTATCTAACATTGTACTTTGCCTTGCCCCCTGGACGCTTTATAATGGGCCTTTTTAACTCAACACGGTTATCACTGAGGCCACAAAAAAAGAAAGACAGTTTTTGTACTTGTGCTCTTGTTCTTCAATATTTTTTATTTATCGCTTAACAATTCAGTTTCTAGTGATAAATTCTTTAGAAAAAAAGGCTTTTTGTGTTTACCCCCTGCCCGAATGGCCGCCGCCATATTGTCGAAGTCAAATCCATTAGATACTTTTAATTTTCTCGATAGATCTAAATCATTAAAATAGATGCCCATTTTCATTATGGTTAGTTTTCCGCCTCGTTTCTCAGTTTGAGATGAGTGCTTTGGAAATTTTAGCAAAACCGCGACTTAGATACGACGTRAATCCATATAGAAAATCTTTCACAGATTTGAGTATATAGAGCATAAATGRTTTTTGCTAAATGTTTTTTCTTCCGTCTATATGTCCACGGCGCAGGGGGATCGGAAAAAGAGCACATCAACATTACAGTGTTAGTAATGAGTCAGTTATATAATTSATATACTTATTCTACCTTCTAATGTAGATCTTGATGACAAGCACCAGTTCCAAGTATAACGATCAAATGGTTATGTTAAGAAGTGTTTTTCTAAAGGCAAGTACTTAGCACTTGTAGCGTGATTCTTACAATGCCCGGAAMAAACCTGTCGCCGCGAAGAAAAACATATTACTCTTTGACGACAGGGCTCCAATTGGTCATAAAGGTTTGCAATCCTGGAAAATTAGGTCAACTTTTACAAATAAATATCTGACATTATATTACTAGAAATGGCATTGAGGCGTTAAGCAATGGTGAGTACACACATAAATCAGTTTTTTTATCAAATAATGCAGAAAGGCCTACAAGATACAGTTTCCATGCCCCTGAAAATCGTCATTTTTATCATAAKTTTATAAAATCATTCATGGTGATTACAACTATGTTGTTGATAAGATATTGTTTCAACATTGCTTAGTCATGCTGAATACGCTATCCCTTAGGCAATAACAATGCTGCTACTCGTGAGCTGTTCAATGAAGTACCACCTTTCATGCAAAATAAAAGGCTTCGAATCGTGCCAAGAGGAAGATTCTGGAATACTTGATCAAAGAATGTGGAATTTTCCATTTACATTATCTTTCGTTTGGTATGAAAACAAAATATGACGTCATGTAGAGAAATGAGAAAGAATCAACAACTTAACTGGTCGMAATTAAGACTTTCTCAAGATCCGACTAGATATGCTTGGACTTCCTGTCTACTTGGAAGATGCAAGGCCGTTGATCTTCGTATATTTTAGCCAGTAAAATTGTGATCRTTATTTGTTGAATAAATTGTAATAGCACGGATGTCAGCACTTGCGGTGTTTCTTACAGGATYAGTTTGTCGGCGCATTTGAACGCGCTTTTAGAATTTAACGCTCTTTGKTGATTTGYAGTCCTACCCCTAACTTGTTCTGCAACACGGCCTGGGTTCTGAAGACGGCGGAAGAAGAATGGGGAGAGGGCAAAAGATTGCATCACGACAAATGCTCCCAAGAACATAGCGCACCGCCAAGATAAGGTGCGCACTACTGCACTGTCATTCTCTCATCATACTTGATTGTAATAATCCTCAAAGTCATTGTGACACGTCTAATGATTTTCTGATTGAAACACTATATAAAAGCATTATTAATTATTTAATACACTTTGCTCATCTTTACATATGATTGACATTCTGATTCAAAYGAAAAGCTTTAAACCAACGTTACCAGCAGACAATTAATTAGCTTGTTCACTCAACTAATACAACTAGGTTTAAAAGCAAAGAGACTAAGACAAGGTAAGCTGGTAAACTCCCTGGAAAATGACTCACTATTCGAGGTTAATGTATTCTGTTCAATTAGCGTCGTGGTATGATTAATTTTTGATGTGCTAGAGATTTTGTACAACAACATATCAATTACTGTTTTATTTTGAAGTTCAAAAGAACTTTTATTTACTCAAAAAACTGATAGAAGAGTGCAGTAATTTTGACAGAAATACTTTTCCATCTGTCTCACATGCTTCTTTAGATTTTCATATGTTTTCAGGAAGTACCTCTCATGGTAAATCGAAGATTTTCTTAAATTAATAGATTTTCAAAAAAGCTGAACACTTTAAATAGAAAATGGATGACAAAGAGAAATTCGACCTAAAGACATGGTCAGTTCAAAATGGCTTYAACATTGGTACAGTTTACGTTTTGCAGAAAGAAGGTATAACAACAAAACATGCGTTAGAGAAACTCACAGACAAGAACATTAGAGAACTGGATATTTCTAGTACACAAATGCGCGTACTACTTGAAGCAGTGCGTCATCTCTCTTTGAAAAAGCTTCAGGAGGACAGAGTAGCTTRACCACAAGAAATGCAAGATAAACAGAAATCTATAATGTTGATAAACGAACAAAACGAATCACWAAATCATGAAGAAGAACAAGTYAACCTAGAGGAATGTTTTGGTGACGAGGAGAAAGGAAACGAATCCCTGAGCTTTGATGACGAGGAGAAAGGAAACGAATCCCTGAGCTTTGATGAAGAGGAGAAAGGCCGAAACGAATCCCTGAGCTTTGATGAAGAGGAGAAAGGCCGAAACGAATCCTTGGAATACGAAGAAGCAGAGAAGCAAGTGAACCTAGAGGAATGCTTTGGCGATGTAGATGGAATTGTGAACAAGATGAAAGATCATGATGATAAGGGAATCAGTGTCCTGGAAAATACAATATCCCCTGGGGGTGATAGTGGACTGAGACTTTCCAGTTTGGATACACATGTTACCACAACTGAAATATCTCCGCAACCCGCTGCACGACTCACTAAACCAAAAGGTAATATAGTCACTCATACTAATAGCTAAATTAAAATTGTCGCGAAAAAAATTATAACATATCCCTTAATTTGGTAATTACATGATCGTAAGTGGTTAATGTTATGCTTTCTCTTGATGATTGAAAATGTTAGTCAATCTAAATCGACAATTTTAAATTGTTTTAAAAAACGTTTTAAAAAACGTTTTTTTAAAAAAACGTTTATTTTGAAATTGTCGAGTAAAGTAAAAAGCTAGAGCCGAAAGGATAGTATACTAACCTGCAACACTTAGATATCATTAATTCTAACATCGCGGATCCGGCTATTCCTCCATACTGCTTTTAACACGTACGACTGAAATACATTAACTTAATATAACCATCATCTTTCTGTTCTTTAAATTGAGTATTATGAATGCTGTACAATTTGTCAGTAAACTTAATTTTAAGTATGCTCTCAAAACACAATGTAAACTTCTAAATGAATTTTTTTTTCGTATTTTCTTTTCTCAGTCACCCTGCAGGTCTCTGCAAATGGACTTTTATTTCACTTCCAAAATAACATAACCACTTGTGGTCCTGTTTTTAACTTAATTTAATACATCATGTTTTACAATAGTGTCTTGAGTTTGTTCCGAAACTGAGTCGTAACTATAAAACTACCGGATAACTGTAAGAGGTCTCGGTCTGTTTTGRTCTCGTGTAAATGGACCTCATATCAAGGCGGTAAATAACTGACTCAGTCAATAATTTCCGTTYTCCTTTTGGCAAAATTTCATCCATTTACGATGACACGATACCAGAGACTGAGAGTCACGTGACCGCGCGACAACCAATCAGAGTACGCACTCTGGTAGGACACCAAAATATGTTTACRTAGTATCACAGTTTTCATGTTAAGCACGTTGTATAAAAAAAACAACTTTATATTCTACACTGCAGGATTCCAATCAAGTTGAGTTTAAAATCTATTTRAGAGCCGTATCCCATTGAAATACGGTTTATGAAGTGCATGCAGGCTCCAAGAAAACTACATTTTTATTTTTATTAATTTTTTTATTTTTTTCACTAACCAATTAACAAACAGGACACATGAATGGTGTACATATACAGTTTAATTCTATACTAGACAATTATAAACCCAATAGGTATTTAAACGCTGCCATGGCAATAGCAAATGTGAACACTCTTGTACCCAAAATACATGGTCAACTACTAATGAGTATTTATTGCCGGGTTTCAAGCCGAGTGGGGACTGGGCAAAATCCCCTAATGCTAATTGGATAATCACGAGATAGGACTTAAATAGAAAGAAAGACCTCGTTGAGAAATCCAAAATTCCAAAATCTGGCGTCAATCAGTACAATAGCGAACGAGTTACGGCCTTTCAAATATTCTAAAATTTCCAAAGAAATGTATGGGAAGCCGTAAATGTGTCCGCATTTTGACCATTTTACGGACACATTCGCGAGATCACATACATCTTTGCAAATTTTAGAATGTTTGAAAGGCTGTAACTCGTTCACTATTGAACTGATGTACATCAAATTTTGGAATATTGCATTTCTCAACAAGGGCTTTCTTTCTATGTAAGTCTTATGTCATGACTATTTTGCCCAGTCCCCAATCGGCTTGAGATCTGGCAATGCTTATATGTTATGGTCGTTATGCAGGTGCAAAAAATCTTTGTAAACATAAATATCGAAAATCTTTTAGTAAATAATCTAGCAGGACAATGTAGTGACCATTAAAATAATTCAATTTCTTCTTATAGTTATAACGCAGCAGCACTTAATTTCTTACATGTTCTTGAGTTGCATAATAAATGATGCATCATGGGTAAAAATCAGGCGCTCCTTCGCTCGGCTTTCGCTATTGTAGCTCGTGTAATRAGCCGTCATTGACTCTGTATAGACATCACATTGGTTTTGGAAATTATAAATAATCAATGAGCAGCCGTTAATATTATTAGAAGAAAGAGTTTTTCTGCATCTCCTTTACTCATGCATCGCATAAAGATACAATGAAGACCGTATTTTCAATGCCGCAGTGTAGTTGATCTTTGAATTTAGGCATCCATAGAGAAGCTTTTATAGTTCTGAAAGGTTACAACTTAAATTAAATTAGTTTATGAGATACTTATAATGTGCACAATATGCACAATAAATTCTTACTCCAAAGCCCGCTATAACTCGGTTTACACGTATATTCATAGCATGAACTTCAGGATCTTTTAAGGCTTTTAGGATAGCAAACCATTTTATCGGCGGGATTCAATGATTGTATCGCGTTGTTTTTCAATCTCGGATGATGGATAGTTTGCCATTGAAAGTATAKCAGCATGAAATGGGTTGAAAAACTTGTCACTCACAACTTTAAATTACATATTTTCCATCATAGGTGAAGTGTTTTATTGTGAAAAACAAAACAAAATAAGATGCAAATTTATGTTTAAAAGTTTATTTTTAAACTGTTGGTAGTATCGTTTCATGCATGCAATTCAAATTGCGCACTTCTCCGTTCATTCGGAACAACATAACATATAAAACATGGCGTCAAGCTGGTACTAGCGCGCAGCATRATCAACGCACAAATCAATCCAACTAAATGATTTTCCGGTATCAACACTGATTCTTTTTGGTAAATGAGATGGTGAAAGCAAACAATCAAGGTTGACGTTTCTCATTGTGCACAAGACTGGCATTTCTATTTGGTATTCCTTTATAGAATTTCATAAATCCATCTCCATTGTCATAGCAAATGCCCCATGTAGAGAGGCCTTTCTTCAAAAAAATGCGGCACAAACACAACGCCGCGTCAGCACCGAACGTTTGCTATTCTTAGAAAATGGAAATATATTCAGATGTAGATGGGAGGTCGGTAGAAAGCTTTCATATAAAGTCGATGTTTACGCATCACTTCTGTATCATAACTACTTCATTGTTGAAGACAAGATATCAGCTTGGAATGTTGAGTTTCAGTCTTTGCTAGAGACGCTTTTTAGGTTTTCAAGTGTGTATTAAGGTAAACACTGCAAAACTTTTAGATTGATTCATAGTGAAAYCATACTGCTTTGAATAGAAACTCTTCATAAACGCGCAAATYTAATCGAGTCCGTCAGCTAGTAGTTTTTGCATATTATGTCTGCGTTTCTATTAGCCTTAGGGCAGGGAAGACAAGCTAGTACATAATGAAAGAATTTCATAATATTTTCTCTTGATTTCGTTTGTTCAATCAAACGTAGCCATAGTAAACGTTTCAGACAGCTAAACGATCTACCCTTGAGGATCAAAATGAGTACATGAGTACAATAAAATGTGCTTTCTTTCTTGTTGAAGTTCTAAAGGAAGTCTATTTACTGAAGTGTCGAACTTAYATGTGGTAATCAAAAACCTGCGTACCACTAATGGCGCATGGCATAACAAGCGTGCGCAATGAACATGCGCCGTCACAAGAGCACTGCACATGGTTGTAGATAATTTGTGTGATCACAGTAAAACAAGAACTGATTTTCATTATTCATAGAACTATCTGCAAACCATCGAACACATGTTTCTTTGCATTTCATAGCAAACTCCACCACGCATTCTTAAACAAGAAGATTGTAAATAAAAGCCCCATACGAGATTGAGTCCACACATAATTACCGGGAGCTATCAGTTTGTTGAGGAAATTTGAGGAACAAAATCGAAGATTTTTTATCTGAGAACAGCGTGCCAGCAGGCTCACATCAGTGCTCGGTCATATCATCATCGTTAAACGAGTAGACCACAATTTGAATGTATTTAGACCATACCACAATCATTCATCTATTGACTAAACCATTTCCTAGGCAGTACTTCTATTACAGCCAGCACTCATAGCATCAGAAAGCTATTTGTAGGTACTCATCCGGCAAGGTATGCATACTCCTCTTGGTTGTTGTAGGCGATTTTTATTAACGTACGCTCATTACTTCTATCAATTTTAATTAATTTTACGTTTGAATAAACACTTGTGAAGGCATTTTACTGAGAGAGATATTAGAGGATGGATGTTTCGTAATTAGAGGAAAGGGCTAAAATGTTTAGAAGGAAGTAATATCGCGTCGCCGCAAATTTCACTTTACGAAGAAGATGTTTCATTTTTTTAGATTTTGTAGTAAGTGTTTTTTCTATGAATAGAACAGGGCTTTCAGCTTTATTTAAAGCAGAAATGCAGTTTTATTGACAGAAGTGGTGGTCAGTTTTCAATTAAATTGTCATGGTGTAGACCACTATTTGCAGGTGCAATGACTGATCTCACAGAAAAATATTTGCGCTTTGCCTTGTTCCTCTCAGGGACATGCTTCAATTGACTTATATARACGGCGGTGGGCTTTGAAAGTGAATTTTTTACCTTAAAAGTATTCGATATGTATTCATTTTAACATAAATTGTTTTGAAATTGAAAATAATGTAATACCAGTGTCCCTTGTTAACTTAACTGGTGTCGAATTGCGATTGACAGCGAATCAAAATCCAATCTGAAAATTCAAAATGGCCACCCTCGAGGACAGCGGGCAGCAAATCCAAAAGCGCTGCAAATCTCTATTTGGAATAATTATGTTTATAAAGGTAGAATTTTGTGTGATTAAATGAAGCGATGATAATCTTTGAGAGCGACCAGAAATCCCCCAAGCACCTAATGAATAATTCATTATTAGATGGAACAATGGGCGTCAAAAATGTTTTACATTTCATGAACAAAAGGAAACCTGAGGTTGATTAAAATTAGAAAAGAATCCTCATTAGATTCATTCTAGCTGCTTTTCATAGCAATTGCAATGCGAGATAATTTTGCACTGAATAGTGCGTGCTTTTTCCTGTGAAATTCATATTTCACCGGAAGTTCGTCAAAAATCGGAAATGCTGGTACTTGTTCGCCTCTTTCCTACCAGAAAATGCAAAGCAGTCTGTGATTGGTCAAAGAACAAAAGAGGTCTCTTCTAAACAATAATAGACCACTGAGTAGCCAATGAGAAGCAAGATTGCATCTAGTAGWAAGTCCAAAATATTGAACTCGGTTGCCAAGTCAGCTTTACATTGTTGGCTCCCATACATTCGTAAGATTTCTGTGAGCACAGGTGGTTTTTAGCCTCAGAGGACTTGGACTATAATATGATATTATGATTATTGTCTCTTTGGGCAAATTTGTAGCCGAGAACTCATTGGTCGCGAGTGTTAGATTTTATTGGGTGTTGTGAAACGAGAAGCGACTTACGTCAAACTACTCGCCTGGCGCCTTTAGGTGGGTGCTTCGTGATTAAGTCGACGTATTTTATTCACGTTTCTCTGGTTGTTGATAAAAAGGAAAGAGCTTGAATAATTAACGCTAGACCTTCTTTTTCAGTTGCCTTTCGAGCAGTAAGAATGGAAAATGGCACGATGAATGGAGACGATCGCTCTCTTACTCGTTCAAGCTCACGGGGTTCAATGAACAGAGACTCATATGGCAGAACCTCTCTTCTTCGACGAAACCAAAGTCTCAGCGCTAAACAGATAAGTTTCTACCGAAATGGCGACAAATTCTTTCGTGGTCTTAAGCTAGCTGTATCAGCTGAACGCTACAAAGAATGGGATTCTCTTCTCGCTGAGCTTTCAAGTAAACTGGACCTACCTACTGGGGCTGTTCGATATGTCTTTTGCTCAGAGACTGGAAAGATGATCACAGACGTGAACGAGCTACAATATGGTGTAAGCTATGTGTGTTCCTCTTCGGCGTCATTCAGAGACGTAGAAGGAGGATATGGCAAAGAAAATCATCCACAGTGGTCACTTCATAACAAAAAAGCTCTCAGGGATGAATTGAACAACTGGACGGACCCGAAAGGTGCAGTCGAAGAAGATAAAATTAGCGGACCTCGAGACTTTATCAAGCCTAAACTAGTGACCGTCATAAAGCCAGGTAAACCACCTCAAAAGAAAGTAACCATGCTACTAAACACGAAGACTGCTGCTTCGCTAAATCAGGTTCTGGATCACTTGTCGGCCAAGGGAACTCTTGGTAAGGTCGACAGGCTGTACACGGCCGTTACAGCCAAACAGGTAGGCCTTTCTTGTTTTTTACGGTCAAAATTTTGGTTTCTGTTCAWCCGTGCATTAAATATTTATCAGCAGTCTATGGTTTTACAATTCTGTTATAGACATTTATTTTCTTTCATCTTACATTCTTGCTTGATTTGACYAGAGTTTTGATATTCTATTAAGAGTATGTCTTCAAGGAATATTCGCGAATTTCTGTCGAATATCATCCTTATCAAGAAGATAAGACATTCGAGGTTTTTTCCATTGATCTCTGCACATACCAGAATATTCAGGTCATCAGTTTGGCGCATAGACGATGGATATTCCTCTTCTTTTATAAGCTATATAATAAAATACTCGACTGGCACGCCCTGAACGTTGAATTTATTTTTTAGTTAGATACAATAACTTTGTAAGAAGGCCATTGTTTGCCTCGCGATGGTACAGGTACTTTTGTAAAATTGACATGAATATTCTTTTAGATGTGTACCCCCCTTTTGTGAAGCTATAACATTAGAATATATAAAGAAGAATTAAAAAAATTATTATGTTAATGTAAATCCATAGCAAAAATGCCATGACACATAGACGAATATAATTCTATTGAATTCAACAAAACTCATTTCGCGCCACGTGTATCGCAATAACACTTCATTATTGATGAACATACACGGTCCTCTCGGGAATTCRTGTCTCTAGATAKCAACTTGATTTAGGGAAAGTGAACAAAGATGCAAGACTTTTTAACAGACGATCTTGATTTATTTTTCGACACCCCTAAAGTGTCTAATAATTTGTAAATGTTTGTAAAATGTGACTTGTGTTAGACTATTCTGAAAACCCATTATATATTTTTATCCATCTGCATAACTAAAGCATTWTTTCTTTTAAGAATCAACATATATTTTCAATGAAGACCGCGAAAACTCTAAAACGATTATTTCCTTCCAATCACTAATAACATAAAGAATGAAACTTGAGTTGAAGTTTATAAATCTCCATGCAAACATTTTGTCTTATTTGTTTAAGTTTTTTACTGATTTGTATTCATCATTATTGTAGATATTGCTATCCAGTAATATTGAAATGATTTGTTTTTCATGTCTGAGACGTGTTTATTTCTAGACACAGGAAACTTAGCTTGCCCCCTCTTTGAAAAAYSCMWWMGGG